AAAAGCAGTCTTTTAGATATTATCAGGCAAGCTTAAATTAAATGGCAGCCATTCATTCGTATGAGGGTGAAATGTATACATAATATCAGCCAATTGGGTCCCACACTCACCAAGATTTTTGCCCTCTTTCCTACCTCTTCTGCTATCACTTCATCAATCTGTGAGATTCTTACTACCTACTCATCAATCCATGAACAATTGAAATAAATAGTATTTCTTGATTTCATGTTTCTCCAATTAGAAGCTTTCCAAAGATTGTACCAGTACATATTCAAATTAAAAACTCGAAACTAATTATCTTCAACATTTATCAGTTTTCAATCCAGGTTTTTTGTCAAGTACAGTAGAACTTGACCAATGTTAAGCTTGTCCACTAGCAAAATGTTTTTTTTATATAGTCAAGTCACATAGGTTTGAGAAAACCCTTTTGTCGCTAACATTTCATTATAGCATTTAATAGAATTATCCATCCGGTGTTTAACAGTGAAAACTCTGTTAGGAAATGCTTGAGTTTGCAAGCAAACCTAACCACAATTTGATGTAGGCGGGGGGGTCAAACCAAATCCTAAATTTTGAGTTTTGACTTCCCTTGGACTTGCTAGCTCATTAATATTTTGAGCTGAAAGTTAGCTCATTATGAGTTGTTTTTAGTTCATTTATTGAACTAAAAAGGTAACTCATTATTATTTGGAGTTGGCCCTTTCTCTTCCTCATATTTCCTCTTCGCTTTTGGTTTCCCGTGCCTTGCCTCTTCTCCTTTCCTTTGTCTATTCGTTTTCTTGTGCTGGCTGTTTTCCCGTGCCTTGTCCCTTGGTTTCCTGTGGCTGGCTGTTTTCCCGTGCCTTGTCTCTTTGGTTCCCGTGGCTTGCCCCTTTGGTTCCCTTGGTTGGCTGCTTGGTTCCACGGGCTGGCTGCTTGGCTTTTGCGATTTTTCTGCTTGGTTTCCGTGGCTTTTTTTCCCTGTTTTACTGAACCGTTTGGGGGCTGATGTTAGGTGGCTGTTGGCCTTTCATCTCCATAAATCTTATAGGTTTAATTAATATTTTTAGGGGATGTTTAGCTGCCTTCTTTTGCCTATATATAGAAGTTGTTTTGATTAAAAAAAGAGGTGAAAATGCAATTTTTGATTAGGAGACCCCTAATTTTTTTGCTAGAAAACGAGTTGTATAAACTTCAAAATCTAATGTTCTTATGTGATGAGAAATTCGAGAAAAGGAAGAAATATCTTCAAGACCAATTCGAGAAAGAAAAAGAAGAGATCCTGAAGAAATTCAAAGCAAGGATTTCTGATGTAGGCAAGGGGGGTCAAAACAATATGAGAATTTGTTTTTACCCTTGGGCTTCTTGTGTTCTTGGATGAGCCTTGGTTGCTTAGTATTGAGCTCAAAATGTTGGAATTTTACTTAGTTTTAGCTCATTAATGTTGAGCTGAAGTTTAGTTCATTAAATAGGAGATTTATTGCACTTCCTAGCTCATTAACTAAAAAGGTAACTCATTATTATTTGGAGTTGGCCCTTTCTCTTCCACATATTTCCTCTCAATTTCCTCTTGGCTTTTGTTTTCCCGTGCCTTGCCTCTTCTCCTTCCCTTTGTCTATTCATTTTCTTGTGCTGGCTATTTTCCCGTGCCTTGTCCCTTGGTTTCCCGTGGCTGCCTGTTTTCCCGTGCCTTGTCTCTTTGGTTCCCTTGGTTGACTGCTTGGTTCCCTTGGTTGGCTGCTTGGTTCCACGGGCTGGCTGCTTGGTTTTTGCGGTTTTTTTGCTTGGTTTCTGTGGCTTTTCTTCCCTGTTTTGCTGAACCGTTTGGGGGCTGATGTTAGGTGGCTGTTGGCCTTTCATCTCCATAAATCTTATAGATTTAATTAATATTTTTAGGGGTTGTTTAGCTGCCTTCTTTTGCCTATATATAGAAGTTGTTTTGATGAAAAAAAGAGGTGAAAATGCAATTTTTGGAGTAAGAAAACCTGAGGGTTTTTGTTGGAAAAGCTTGAGAGCTTTGTCCACTTCTTCTTCTTCTTCTACCCTTTGAGAAAGCTTGCGAGCTTGTCTCTATTCCGTCTCGGCTTCTAATCTCTTTCGTCTCTCCGCAAGTTCCCTTCCACATGTATACTTCTTCTCAAAGCAACAAATGGAAAGCAACTTTAGTTGTCTTTAATTTGTGATTGTGTCAAGTTTATAAGTGTCAAGAGTTGTAATAGTCTTTTATCTTAGAAAATTTTGTGTTATTTCTTATTTTTATCTATTTTGTATAATTTTCTTTATCCTAGTAAGATCATATTTTTCTAGCAAAAAAATTAGGGGTCTCCTAATTTTTTTGCTTACATCACAATTGATGAAAATAGTGAGTAAAACTGATGTTTACAGCAGGAAAAAAAAAGCAACAGTACAACAGGTTTCTTGGGAAAAACAGAAGAAAACTGATAGAAAACGAAGAATTCAACTACTAGATGCAAGAAAACAGCAAACAATACAAGTTTCTTCGATTCGAGAGGAAGAAACAGCTCTCCAAATCTCTAGCCAAGCCTAGAGCCCAAAAGAACCAACCCTAGATCCCAAATCTGATTTCAAATTCCAGATCCCCCCAAACCCTAACATGTTAGACTAATTAAAGTAAAAGTAAAAATTACATAATCCCTAAACAGCCCCTCATTCAAAATTTCCCTCCTAAACCATGTTTAATTCAATCCTTGTGCCCCACCAAGGTTGCCACCCCCCACCAAGCCTGTATCGAAGGAAAATTGCATGCTTTCTTTTTTGATAGCCCCCCAATCTATCATTATTGGTATTGAAATTTTTATCCCTTGAAGCTCTCCAATACACCTTGATAAAGCATTAGCTGTCTTATTTTTCACACCTAGCCTGTATTGGACGCTACTTTTGAATATATAATACGATGGCCATCAATTCCCATTCATAAACAGACTTCAGTCTAGCCCTAGTTGTCAACACCTGGCTGAAGTAGGCTATGGGCCTATGATTCTGCATCAGCACTGCCCCCAACCCATATCTGGATGCATCTGTCTCCACCACAAAAGTCTGACTGAAATCTGGTAAAGCCGAAACTGGTACTGTGGTCATTGCTTTCTTAAGTTTCTCAAAAGCCTAGGTAGCCGCATCCCCCTATAAGTTGTCCTTTAACTGGTCTGTCAAAGGACAAGCTATGTTGTTGTACCCATTCACAAACCTTCGATAATAACCATTCAATCCTAGAAAACCCCTTACCTCCCTCAAGTTCCTATGTAGAGGCCACTTCTGGATTGCTTCAATTTTTGCTTGATCGGCTGTCACCCCATCCTAAGAGACAACACGCCCCAAATACTCCACACTAGTTTGTGCAAAGCTGCACTTCAGGTTGGCCTAGAGCTGATGCTCCTGTAGAACTCCAAAGACCACCCTTACATGCTCCAGATGCTCCTCTTCGGTCCTATTATACACAAGTATATTGTCAAATAATACTAAGACAAACCTTCGGAGGTACGGCTTGAACACTCTATTCATCAATGACCGGAAAGTAGCAGGGGCTTTTATGAGCCCAAATGGCATCACCAAGAACTCGTAATGCCCCTCGTGCATCATAAACGATGTCTTATGAATATCCTCCTTCATCATGATTTGATGGTAGAATGGATTCAAGTTCATCTTGGAAAACACCACTACTCCATGCAACTCATCCATTAGTTCATCGATCACATGAATGGGGAACTTATCAGGCACAATCTCCTTATTCAATGCTCTGTAATCCACACAAAATCTCCAGCTCCCATCTTTTTTCTTGACCAGTAAGACTGGACTAGAGAGAGGACTCACACTTGACCTTATGATCCCTGCTTCCAACATCTCCCTAATCAACTTCTCAATCTCATCCTTCTAAATTTGATTGTAGCGGTATGATCGTACACTAATCAATGACACTCCATCCCTCAAAATGATAGTATGTTCCTACTCCCTGGGTGGAGGTAAACCCTGAGGCGGTTGGAAGACCTCACTGAATTGTTGTATAAGGAGTTGTACTGCAAGAGGGATGTCTCCTTCTTCCCCCACACTGATGCCCTCCAAGTGCTGCAGTTCCACCAAGTATCCTCCTCCCACTTCCTGTATGCTCATGATCATGGATTTGAGAGATAATCTAGCTCTAGACAATGAAGAAAAAGGATTCATGTAGCCAACCCCACATAGTGGGATAAAGGCTTGATGTTATTGTTGTTGTATTGCTCATTATTACAAAGATGTCGCTCTAGAAACATTGTTAAGTTCAACCACTACCTTCTTCATATTCATTTACAAACAAATTAGTATTTACTATGTACAAATTGTTCATTTACTGCTTGTGAATCAAGAATGACAAATTTTTCACATTGATAGCTCTGATTTTATTTTTTTTATTTTTAAAGTCATAAGATAAACTGCTGATCTTTCAGGGACAGAAGCCATACTTAAAAATCACTACACATGTTGATAGATTGGGAAAGATCTCGAACAATGTCTGCTTGCAAAATTTTAAAGCAGAGCAAGTAAATATGTAGAGCTTTGTTAAATGCTTGATAACAAGTTCTTTTAGCTCTTCCATCATCTTCTCCACTTATAATTGATTTGCTGATGTAAATTATTTAAAAAATTAGTTAGGATATGTTTGATTTTCTCAAGGTAAGCCTTTCTGATCTTTTAATATTGATTGAGTATATCTAAGCTTGTGTACATTGAAAATTTCTTTAGCAAGGTCCTTAGATTCTAGTCCCAAAGTAAACGAAACAAGTTTAGGAGTCAAGCTTTATTTTTTATTTTATTTTTTTCTTCTTTATGCATCAAAAAAATAAAACATTCAAGCAAGAGACTCATATGCTTGATAGACTAACCAATGAATATTGAGCATGTTTGAAAATTATGAAAGTGTTAAATATGAGAATATTCTATTGAATAAAGGACTTTAGCTACCTATGACATCATTTAATAGCAGCAATCTGGAAAAGGCGAGGAAGAAGTTCAACCAAAAAAGTACTAACCTACTGCATTGTTGACAGAAGCGCTGGATAACATTCCCAACAACTGCACTACTAGCCTTCGCATGCATCTCACACACTTTATGGCGCCTGTGGTAATCCTTGGTCTGACTCAAGTCAGCACCACAGTTCTCAACCTGGCATTTAGGATGGTTTGAATTGGTAGCCTGCACCAGTACCCTCTTACCATTTTTCATTCCACCGGGATTCAGATCTCCCTCCAGGACTGGATATGCATGAGCCCCAAGCTTTAAAGTAAGTGAACGAGTATCATCACAATGCTCATCATCCTCCACTGCTACAATACGTCTCCGCTTGTCTCCCTCGCCTAGCACTTTCCCAACAACTCCAAACTCAGCCTCATCCGAGCAACTAGACGAGCTGTTTGAAAGCACTATGTCAGGGAGCAACTGCTTATTCAAGCACTTCAAAGGACCAGGATTTACAGGAGTAGCCATAAAAAGGTCTCCATCCCATTTCCAATCATTTAAATCCCATTCCTGCGCTTTCTTCCCAAATCTCTTGGAAGATCCAGCAGCGAAGAATTGATGGTTCTCCCCTTCAAAGTTAGCCTCCATCTTTTCCAAAAGCAAGAGCGCCACTTGCCAATTTTAAACAGCCTGCTGCCCCTAAATCACCGGCCAAAAAGCAAACCCTAGCTGTAAGGAAATCTAATCCGCCTCGCTGCGTCCCCAAAAATCCAGAATCATCGCGCCCATACAGCCATGAATCCAAACAAAGAAAATCCACATGCCCGACAGTAAACCCGTGGGAATCAGACCAAAAATTCAAGAACGCGAAGTCAGTCAAAGGCGACCTTAGTCCACAGCAGCCAACTCCAGAGATTCTAAATCCTTGCAACCCTCTAGCAAGCATCCAAATAAAAATACTCAATATACTGTAAACGAATACCAAATACCTTCATCGATCAACTCCGGCCTCAATTATCTCACATTGTAGACCAACACAATCACTAATTGAGCAAGCCAGCAGCCCAAAACCTCAGTAACACGAAACCATAAACAAAAGCTAGCCTCGCATCACCGAAACCCTGATTTCCTACCACAAATTACAACACTCGGAGCAATAATTGAAATAAACTCACCATAACCAAGCCATACGCAAAGTAGAAACCACCACAAAAGATCAAACAGATACCCCACTCTTCCAGATTCTCTGATCCAATGACTACTTCATAAAGATCAAAATTCCAGCCGGAAACGATTCAACTTCGTAAGAGAAATCCGAAGCCTGAAAGTTGGAGTGGCAGATTATCGGGAGGGAGAGAGAGAAATTGTGCTTGCGAATTGGAAAAAAAAGCGTTCCAACGTACGAAATACTGTAGGTTATTTATCACGTCAGCATCGCTCACACATGTGCCATTTCACAACGTCCGTTGCTTCCACGCTCGTTTTGCACGGACGGTCGGATAGGAGTTTGTCGCTCCGCTGCCGCACGATGAGTTCGTGCGGGAGGTACAATTTAAGTGCTGTAAAACGTGTGGGACCCGCACAAATGCGATCTCAGTTGCTGGGTGCGATCCAGGGAAGGTGAGCATGATGGTTCCATCCTGACCGTCCATTTATCGAACCCGTTCAATCCCACGAACCATTTATGATCGGAAGATAATGGGATAACGTGTTCAGATTCGTGAATTAAGCTCTTCCTGCTAAACACCCCGACGCCCGCGTGCACATGGCGATCTATCAACATGTTTGCCCGCTTTTTTAAATGACAATTTTTTTATCCAAAATAAATTAATTTTTTATATTAAAATTTTATTAAATAATTCATATATTAGTATTTGATAATTGTTATGATTATTGTCAACTGCCTAACATAATCTTTCATTTTTTTTCATTCAAAATTTGAGATCTTGCAACTGAAGTATTGCAAAGATAAGGATGTTAAGATGGATGAGTGTAATGGCATTCATTTATATAATTAAATGTCTATTAATAACATATAAATGATCCGCAAAAAGAATTTTGCAATCACGAGATTTCTACTAAGAGCGTTGTGACGACGTGCTTTGCAAGCATAGTGGTGCCATGCTTTCGAATTTTCATAAATTTAGTGGAGCATTGCAGCATTAAGATATGGAGCTTGTAGTGCCATGCTCTTGAGTTTTACGTTGGTCGCTCTAATCATAAAAAGTATTATGAACGTAGTAGGTTATCTAAATCATTTTTTGTTTCAAATGATTTCTAGTTTTAAAGTTTTAACTCTCCCAAATTTGGTTAAAATATTTTATCCCCTTATTTAGTAAATTTTTATCACATAACTTTTGATATGTATTAGGTATCATTATTCAAAGCATTTTGGAATGATTATATTGAAATTTCACCAGTTAGATTTGCATGTATAGCATTTTTATTGAATTGATACTAATGAGAGCTCATATTATTAGATTTAGACTCTTACAATTATTCCATCAAGCCTATCATGACATGTATATGTATGATATAATTTACATGACAGGGTCTGCATGTTATAGCAAGCCAGTCTTGTAGAAAAGGTGCATTAATAGCTCGATGTTAAAATGATATACACATTAAATTGCATAAGATACATATATGTCATGATATATTTTGCATGTAAGACATAACATTAGTATGTGAATTGCAAGAAAAACTAGCTAGTTATAAACTGATTGACATTTGTTGGAGCAAGATATCATGTATAGGAGGGTATGTGAAAGGGCTTTCCATTAGATGATGGATTTGTGATAAAATCTCAATGCAAGATAAAAGATATAAGATAGAGAGTTATAAGTTTACAAGATACACCAACATGTAAAATTGATAGCTCTTACAAGATATCCATCTCACACACTAACACACAGTGTCATGCCCCAAGACTTAAATTGGAAGAATTGTATATTTTATAACTTCTTAATCAAAATCAAAGTTATTCTTTTAATAAATAGCAAAATAACTAATAAAACAAATTCTACTTATCAAAACATCCATATACAACTATATTCATTCAAAAAATTATTTACAATAACAAAAAGTTTAAATGAATTACAGAAACTGTCTGCCAAAACTTCTAGCTACAAAAAGAAAGCAGCATAAAGAAAACTAAACTTGTAAGTTGAGACTCTCATCAACCCCAAAACATTGGATCCTTGCCCCCAACATATAATCAATGAAATCCGCAAAAAAATGAGTTGCAAAACCCCAACATGTTGTCAAAACATATAAGTGCACTCAAAGCACGAAAATGATATAATATGCATGTAGTAATTCAAAATCATAATAGTAGCATTTATTATGGTCATAAAACTATGCAAAATAGTGATTCTGTTAATCGGGGGGGGTGCAGCTCCGTCGCGATCCAGCGCGGGACGGGATCCGTCTCGTCTCGGGTCGGGTCGTGACATCCCCCTTAAAAAAAAAATACTTATTAATAAGTTAAGCCCTAAGTCTACTCGGTCCAAGTATTTTTCCTCTCACCTGACTTATCTTTCGACCTCTCTTCTTTGTGTATCACGACATTCTACATCAATAGCTTTGCGACGTCCAAACAGCGGCCTTGGGAGGTCCAGACGGAGATCGGCAAGGTCCAGAAGGAAGCCCACTCTCCTTGTGACATCCAGACGGTGGTCGGAGAGGTCCAGATGGATGCCCTCTCAACTTGTGACATCCCGACGGCGTCCTTGTGAGGTCTAGATGGTGGTCGGCGGCATCGAATATGTCGATGATTTTTTGCACATTTTTTGGTTGGCGACTGAATTCTCTTCTGAGCATTCAGTCATTCGACCTGGAGAGGAAAGAGATAAAGTTTTTTTTTTCAGTTTACAGAAATTTAGTAATGTTAGTCTGCATATGTTAGCTATGTAATTTATATCTCATTTATAGAATTGTAGTCAACAAAATATAAGTTAAATCCTAAGTCTAATCGGTTCAAGTATTTTTCCTCTCACCCAACTCATCTTCTGACCTCTCTTCTACGTGTATCACGGCATTCTGCATCAATCGGTTTGTGATGTCCAGACAGCGGCCTTGTGAGGTCCAGACGGAGATCGGCAAGATCCAGAAGGAAGCCCACTCTCCTTGTGACATCCAGACGGTGGTCGGAGAGGTCCAAACGGATGCCCTCTCACCTTGCGACGTCCCGACGGAGTCCTTGCGAGGTCTAGATGGTGGCTGTCAGCATCAAATGTGTCGATGAGTTTTCATTCGTACATTTTTGGATGGCGACTGAATTCTCTTCTGAGCATTCAGTCATTTAACCCGGAGAGGCAAGAGATAGAGTTTTTTTCAGTTTATATAAATTTAGTAATGTTAGTCTGCATAAGTTAGTTATGTAATTTATGTCTCATTTATAGAATTGTAGTCAACAAAATACAAGTTAAGCCCTAAGTCTAATCGATTCAAGTATTTTTCCTCTCGTTCGACTCACTTCCGACCTCTCTTCTTCGTGTATCACGACATTCTGCATCAATCGCTTTGCGACGTCCAGACATCGGCCTTGCGAGGTCCAGACGGAGATCGACAAGGTCTAGAAGGAGGCCCACTCTCCTTGTGACATCCAGACGGTGGTTGGAGAAGTCCAGATGGATTCCCTCTCCCCTTGCGACGTCCCGACGACATCCTTGCAAGGTCCAGATGTTGGACGGTTGCATCGAATGTGTAGACGAGTTTTCTTTCACTCGTTTTTTTGATGGCGACCGAATTCTCTTATGAGCATTCAGTCATTCGACCCGGAGAGGCAAGAGATAAAGTTTTTTTTCAATTTACAAAAATTTAGTAATGTTAGTTTGCATATGTTAGTGTTGACCTCATTTTTATATGAGGTCAACTGGACCAGTCCTGACCCCATATCAATTTAATCTCTAGACCAATCCAAACTCTAGGATCCTCCTAGAATCCCGACCTTAGGATTTATTCTAGATCCTAGAATCAATCTAGACCTTATGATTCTCCCAAATCAATAATGACGTGTTCAATTTTAAAATTTAAAATTTAATATTCCCAAAGATAATTAAATATTTTTCAAAACTATATATATTTAAATATATTTTTCAATCAAACAGTTAGCTATGTAATTTATGTCTCATTTATAGAATTGTAGTCAACAAAATATAGTTTACCTGCATATAAGTTGTTTGAATGTGTTATCTTATTTTTTAAGTCTTAATTTTATATCCTGACAAAATAACAATAGACTAAAGATATATACTCTTAAGTTATCTTTGATTACAAGTTTGAATATCTTGATAAAATATTTCAAGCAATCTTCAAATTAAAAAATATCAAATAATATAGATGCGAATAACAATGAGATTGAAGAGCTGTTGACCTCATTTTGTATGAGGTCACTAGGACCAATTCAGTCCTTAGATCTATCCAAACATTAAGATTACCTCAAACCCTAGGATCTATCCAGACCTTATATCTACCTATACGCTATGATTAATCCATATCTTAAATCAATTCAACATTCAAACATATACTGACTTCAAACCTATACGGATCTTAATTACAACTTAAACTTTGATCCAGCCTCCAACCTAGCTTCAACCTTATCCAATCACTTCTGATTAACCAAATGATTATAAATGATTTGGATAATTCAATTCCAATAATTCAAACCCAAAACCTAGCTCAAGTCTAAAAATCCAGGCCAAAATCCAAGGGTAAAAGGCTATGTCTTGAAAGCCTTTTTAATGATTTTTTAAATACTTCAAACCCCGCTCAAATGACCCCTGATTCATGATCTATCAATTGCATATTGATTAGGCATGTGCCTAGGGTCTACCCGCCAAATTTGAGCTCAATATGAGGCCTCTTACCCCATATACTAAATTGAAACCCAAAGGCTATTAAACATTCAAATATTTACGGTCTATGTCACTAAACCTACCATCTAATGGATTTTGATCTTAGAGCATTTTCCGAAGCTTCTAACTATGTCCATACCCTTGATTATGATATGTTGAGCAGTAAACTATATTTTGGTAGACCCACTTTGACCCCAAAGTCCACCATGGGTCAAAATGACTAAAAGTCTAAAATGTTCCTTAAGGGCAAATTTGGAGTTTGCTATAGACTTCAACATGGCTTTTTAAAATTAAGCTCTAGAACCTATTCTAATGCATCCTAATCATCATTAGGAGTACATTGGACTTAAGCCCTTGACCCTGGTCAAACATGGTTGACTAAGTCAACCAATTTTGATCAAAATACCCCTTACGGGTTTGGATACTCATTTTAAACCAAATGCCCTTTTCTTTACATAAGACCACTTCTAGTAGATTTTAAACATAAAACCAAACTTCTTGGACCCAAACCCATGCCTTGGGACAACCTGGATGACCAA